GTGCCTGCTCATGCAGGCGGCCCGGACGCCCTCCCGGCCCGGGGCCGGCCCACCTCGCCCCTCAGCTCGGCCATCTTCCTGTCCATGCTGGAGCGCGCGCCCAGCTCGTCCTCCAGGTCTTCCGACATGCGGCCCAGCTCGTCCTGGTGCGTCTCCTTCAGGATGCTGAGCTGCAGGACGCCGGCTGGTCACGTGGGGACCCGCGGTGGCGGGCGGGCGCCGGGCAGCGCCCACATGGGGTGGCACTAGGGGCTCAGAACTGACCCTGAACCTGACCCCTCCCCCCTTCCAGTCACTCTCGCCTCCGCCCCACCCCTGCTGGCCCGCCAGTGCCTGCTCCCGGCTCCCGGCCCGTCAACTCATCTCCCAACAGTAGCCCTCAGTGGGCTTCTAGAAAAGATAATTTCCAACATACACACGGCCCTCCCCAAAAGCCCCTCTGATGGCTCCCAGGTGCCTCAGGATAAAGCCCAACTCCTCTCTGGGGTCTCACAACACCCCGCACAATTGGATGCCCCCCCTCCTAAACCTCATCTCCCACCTCTCCCCTGACTTCACTGTGCTTCAGCCTCAGCGGACTGACTCCTTCCTATTCCTCAAATACACCAAGTTCCTGACCACCACAGGGCCTTTGCACATGCAGTTCCCGCTCAGTTCCCTCTGCCTCGAACATTCTTTTTTTTTTTTTGAGATAGGGTCTCACTCTGTCACCTAGGCAAGAGTACAGTGCCATCATCATAGCTCACTGTAGCTGCAAACTCCTGGGCTCAAGTGGTCCTCTAGCCCCAGCCTCCAGAGTAGCTGGGACTACAGGTGCACACCACCATGCCCGGCTAATTTTTCTATTTTTTTTTTTAGAGATGGGGTCTCACTACGTCGCCTAGGCTGGTCTCGAACTCCTGGCCTCAAGTGATTCTCCTGCCTCAGCCTCCCAGAGCGCCGGGATTACAGGCGTGAGCCACCGCAGTACCCGGCTCCGGAACACTTTCCGAGGTGTCCCGCGGGACTGACTTTTCTTATCGTCAGGCCCTAGGGCGGCCTCTCCCGTCCTGGCCTAGAGGCGGCGTCTCCTCGGCCACCCCCCGCTGGAAAGCAAGCCTGGGAGGACAGGGACCTGTCGCCTGTCCACCTGTCTCCTGCGTGGCCTGGGCACAGGGCGGCCCTCAACACGGTGGACATAAGCTGGTCTGCCCGCAGGGGCTCAGAACTGCTGGGGTGCCTCTAAAATGGCACTGCCCACGCGCCCGCGCGCCGAGTCTGCCGCACACGGTGCTGCGGGAAAGCTGCCAGACACGACAGAGAACGGGACGATTCTGCCCTGCTGCACGCCTGCGATTTCGTCCAACGATCACACTTCTCTTCAATGGATTACACTCCGCAAATTGAAAAGGTCACGCAAGACAGGTTCCTGGGCCCAGTCCCCGGAGATGCGGACTCCGAAGCGTGGGGGTGGGCCTGGGAATCCGTGTTTTAGGGCCTTTCCCAAGAGGGTCTGACATAAGCCCATCGCCGTCCCTACCCGGACAGAGTGGCGGGCTCTGAGTGAGGTCCCCATCTCCCGCCTTCTGGAAACCGGCGGATCCAGCCCGGCTTTCCCTGGGCGGCTGCGCCCCCTGGTGGCCCCTGCGGCCCGCACAGGCGGCAGCCTGCAGCCCCGCCCGCCCTGACCCCCACACTGCAGTGGCGGGCTCCCCTCTCTGGAGCCTCAGTGTCCTCATCTGTAAGATGGGGACTGCCTCGACTGCCATGGGGCGTGACGCCCGGGACACGCCAGGCACCCCACGAATGCCACATCCAGATCCTCCCCTTCATCCTGGTCCGCAGGGCCCTCTCTCGGCCTCACCTCCTGCTGCTGTCCAGCTGCAGGGGCCTGCTCTGTCTCCCCCCCCACGGGCTTGCTGCTGCCTCAGGACCTTTGCACTTGCTGTGCCTTCTGCCAGAACCCTGTCCCAGGATCTTCTCGGGGATGCTTCTGCTAGCCCCTTTCGGCTTTGCCTGGAATGTCACCTTCTGAGAGAGGCCTTCCCTGACCCACCGCCCCATTTCTCTCATCCTGTTTTGACGCCTTCGTGACTCATGAATTTATCTGCCTGGTCACAGTCGGTCTTCTCTGCCCATGGCCCCCACAAGGTGGACTCCTCAAGGCAGGGGCCTGGCCTGCCTAGTGCTCAGGACAATTGCTGAATGAATGAATGGATGAATGAATGAACGAATTCCATTTTTCTGTCTCCCATCCCCACTGCTGAAACTCAACAGTGTGATACTGCTGCCGCCTCCAGGAAGCCCTCTGGGTCTCCGAGACTCACCTGCTTGAGCATCTCCTGCTTGGTCTTGCTCAGCTCCTCGTACTTGATCTTCCACTGGCTGAGCTCTCCCTCCAGCTTCTCGATGTTCCTGCTCAGGGCCAGTTTATCCCTGGGAAGGGGACAGGGAGGGACAGACATGGGGGTGAGCCTGCAGGGGCCGTCTGCTTGGAGTCCTCACCACGAGTGGCCCTGCTGTGCTCTCTGCACCCGTCGAGCTCACGTCTAAAGTCCCTACCTCGGCGTTCAGGGCCCGGCACCCCACGTTGCGGCAAGCACCCCGGGTTTGCGTTTCTCCTGGAGCTGCACCCCCACCCACGTGCAGGGACCGAGCTCACAGTGGCGGGAGGTGATCGGGGCTCCGGAGCACTGGGCACCTCCGGGCAAGGGCCTCCCTCCCGCCGGACCCAGGCTCATCTGCCAGAGGCCACCCTGTTCCCGCCCTGTGGCTCCCTGCACGGCCTGGACACCTGGTCCTGCAGTTAGAAAAGCTGGAAAACACTGTGCGGTGACTCTCGGAGGGCGGGTCCCCTCTTGCCATCATCCCTGTGTGGGATCCCCACGTTCTCCCGGGACCACCCTGCACTCTGCCTTGAACGTGAACGTGGCACCACAGGTAACAAGCATGGTGACTGGCCCCC